TAGAGTGGATGCTTGGCTCCAGTGGCTCCTGAGCACATCCATCCCCTCCCACACAGAGGAGGTTTGCATGTGCAGACAGGAGTGCCTTCTACTACTCTGCCCCTTCTTTTGGAGTCAGGTGCCCCAGGCTCAAGCTCAAGGGCCTTTCATTTGGCAACTGGTATCAAACAGCCCACCGCCTCATCTTCCCCAGACCTTACTGTTTTATTTGCAGGAAGAGAGTCCATCAGCACCCTTGGTTTGATCCTTGGTGTCAGCCTCTCCCTCTTGATCCTCGGAGTTCTTGGCTATGTCCTGCTCAGGTGGTACCGGGAAGGACCCTGCTGGGACAGTAAGTGGGGCAGAATGGAGACATAGAGGTAATGGCAAGGTAACTGGTGACCCTAAGACTTTAGGGACAATTGGCCAAGGAAGAACCTGACTGGGGAGATTTCCTCATCTCAGACAATGGTCAGCAACGGTGGCCACATAGACGGCAGGCTCTCCAAAGTTGAACTCAGATTTTTAAGAATGTAGCCCAATTTTGGGAGGGGGGTGGAGGGGAACCGGCCCTTATCCTTATATGATCCTGCAGCTGCAACAGTGAATGTGGGGGCTCCTATTGTATGGGGGGGGTTAGCTGTGCATGACATAGAGAAATGGAAAATATTTTTATTTTATTTATTTATTAAATTTGTGTGGGGTCCGTCTCACTATCGAAAGTCAGCTCAAGGGGAAAGACTAATCCCTCCACACAGCTTCCCGCTTGGGCTTGTTCCTTATTAAAACGGCAGAGCCTTAAAGAGGGACTCCATCGTCTCTTCTGTAATTTTTCTAGAGAAGAAGTATTAAAAATATGGTGCTCAGAATTTAACTGTCTGACTTGCTTGCCTTGTTTTATTTCCTTTAGGGCCTAATTTTGTGTTCAGGTTTTGTCACATCCGGTAAGTGCATTTCAGGAAGCTGCTTTGGGGTTCATAAGAGTTGCAATTTATAAAAATGTTTCCTGCCTTAGAAGTGTACTTTTGTTCTGCCTATTTATTTATTAGATTTCTGGGTTGCCCATCTTGTCTTTTTTTTGCTTTGTGTCCATTTCTGATGCTCTTCTGTGTTTTATTAATTTATGGGAGCTGCTGATCAGATCCTGGTTCACCTTTCCTGGAGATAGCCCTCGGAAGGGCAGGAAAAGGCAGCTGCACTCCCACCCCCATAGGCCAGCCCAGGCAACAAGCAGAAGGGCTGAGAGCCAGCCCTTCTCCAGGAGGCCGACCTTCAGGGCTGGCCTAATTCTTTGGAACTGGCTCTCCCCCCCCCCCCCCCCCCGAATGGATGCATGTGCCTTTTGTAGTGTTATGAGCCATAACACTAAGTCTGCCACCAACATGCTTCTGCCAGTTGATGTGCCTTTGCCCCCTTTAGCAACCTGAAGCCCCTGGGACTGGAGCTGGCCCCTCCCTTCACCATCAGTGGTTCCATGCATGGAGCAGGAGTCGGCTATGAGCAATTTCATGAGAGGGACTGTAGGTTGGAGAAGTGTGTAAGTGACCCTGAGGCTCTTCCAGCATCATCCTGGCCCCGTTCCACAGCTGCCATGAGGATCTGAAGTGCTTGGCAGCAGGAGGGTAAGTTTTGGGTGGATTTGGACAACTGTGAGAGAGCAGAGATGTGTGGACATCCACTGCCCCCACCCCTTCTGTATTGCTCCTTAGTACCCCTACCAGACTGGCCTGAAGGTGGCTGGCCAACCAGACTCAGTGTGTGGTCCTCGGTGGAACTACGCCTACCTGGAGGGAACTGTGCAGTGGGGTCCTTCCGGGTTCTGTCTTGGCCCCAGTGCTCTTCAACCTCTTCAGAAATGACCTACAGGAGGAGGGGATAGAAGGAGCACTCACCAACGGTGGATGACCCCAATTGTGGAGGAAATTGCTAAAACTATGAAAGATTGAGAAAGATTTTGACAAATTTGAACCTCGGGCCTAATCCAAGAAGATGCGGTTTGGTGGTGAGAAAAGTAAAGGTCTGCCCTTAGGTAGGAAAAAGCAGACGGAGAAGTGCAGGATAGGGAGCATCTGTCTCAACCATAGTTGACAGGGATCCAGGATGGGCTCTGGCTTAAGCCAAAGTGAGCCGTGTGCAGCAGCTGCCAAAAAGCCAAAGCGGTTCCAGGCTGCCTCAACAGAAGGATAGCACCAAGGAAGTGACAAGGCTGCTCTATAATGCAGTGGCGAGGTCACCTTTGGAAGGTTGCATCCATCCAGTTCTAGTCACCATGATACCAAAAAGATGCTGAGGCCCCAGGAAGAATGCAAGGAAGGGGCACCGAGGATGAATCCCACGAACAACAATGAAGAAACAAAGTCTATTTACAATAGCTTAACCAATGTCTACGGAGGATCTCAATCATCCAGGTCATGGTTGTCCTAAAGGTGCTTCCCCCCCACCCACCCCCAAAAAAATCCCCCAAACAAATCTGAACAAGCCCTTTTGCTTCTTGGATGAGAAGCAAGAAATTTTCAAAGGAAAAAAAAATCAAGAAACTCCATCAGCTTTTTGGAAAAAAGGCACCTTTGGAAAATAGCTTAACAAAGAGAATACTTGAAGGGTGTCCACAAGGCAGATTTAGGGTATGCGTAGCACCTGAGGGTAAAGCGAGAAGCCATGGGTGGAAGCTAGATAGAAGGAGAGCCAACTTGGAAATAAGGATGACGTTTCTGGCAGTGAGAACTCTGAAAACAGCAGGGAAACTTGCTTCCTGGAGTAGAGGGTGCTCTATTGCTGAAAGTTTTCAAGAAAAGATTGGTCATGGATTATGTCCGAGATGGTATGAGGACTTCTGCCTTGGGTAGGGAGCCCCAAGGTCCTGCCACTTCTATGATTCTGTGATAAGAGCCCCTGAGAATTCAAAGCCATCCTGGAAACGATGCATGGGGTATGTGACAAAGAGCAGGAATAATATCTCCACATGTATCCTTTTCAGGAGGGTAGTGGGAGGAGCATGGGATGGTCCTGTGGATCGAGTCATGTGTCCTATTGGGACTTTAGGGGGGTAAGCTGGATTATTCAAATTCCTCCTTGGCTGTTTTGCGTGATATGGAATTGTCTGGTGTCAGAAATCCTGGCCGTGTACAGGCCTCTTCTGTGTTCTATAAGGTTACGGCACCCTTCTCTTTAGGCCAATATTCTTGGCCAGTTGCAGTTCAGAACTGGCTGCAGTAACAACCCTGCAGCAAGCCAACCCAACACCCCCACTGATGGAGCCACTGAGCAGCAGTAGTTGGACAATGGTCTGGACTCCCTTTGCTTGCTTCTGGGCTGCTTCTCTAGAATTCTGGATTCTCTGCAGATGGGGGTGTGTGTGCATGTGCACACATGTGCGTGTAAAATAGAAGGACAGGAGTGGCTTGCAGAGCTACTCTTTTAACAGAGGAGTATTCCGAGTAGGTTTCTCTGGCGCCAAGTGGCTCAGCCCATGCTTCTCTTTTATAGTGTGAGTAGCCCCCCCCTTCCCATTTCTGGGACAAATCCTTGCTTTTAAATGCTGCCAGAGGGAGGATGGCTGGTCCCTGTTTAGGACAGCAGGGGAAGGGAGTGGGGGAGAGGCTCCATCCCCCAAAGTCTGAATTTACCATCATGGAAATGCATTTTTTATTGTGCTGTGTTCTGTATTCTGTACAATGGTAGATTTTGTCTTCTGTACAGATGCAGATGGATAAACTCAACAAAACATTCATACAAAGTCTTTATTATTGGTTCACCAGGTATCCTCATAACTCACATTTGTGACGAAGTTGTTCTTAATGTCCAATCCTTTGCATATTTGTCTTGTAGGTAAAAAGATGGTTATCTCCCTATCCTTTTTCTCCCATCTTGTAGCGGTATAAGTAGAACAGTTACCACGAGTCCGTGAGTTCAGCCAAGAGGAGGAAACCTCCCCCAACCCATCAAGGGTCAATTTAGTGACCAATCAGGATTACAGATGTGGTCACGTGACATGGACTACATTTCCCAGGATACCCTAACTACATTTACCATGATGCATTCCCTTAAGGGAACAGCTCACAATTGCTACCTAACTATCCAATTCCCATACACTGGCTGGACAGCACATGCTGTGTTCAAGGTTTAATCCTGAAGGATCACATAGCTAAACAATATTTATTAAATAAGGCAAAAGACATTGGTAAAGGTAATTTAGCTGCATTTAAAATAAATTAAATAAATAAAGTTGGTTTGTACAAAAAGATTCAAGGCTTTTTAAGATGATCCTTTTGTCTTAGGCTACTGTATTAACTACAAAAACTCTATCTGATAGTTTGATTGTTGGCTTTATCTTAGTGGTTTCTTGTAAGTTTTTCACATTGTCTGAGTTGGGTGGCCATATAAATTCTTTAAATAAAGAAATACAAATAAATAAATAAATGAAATAAAATAAAAGCTGGTCTGGGGTGCCCCCTTTAGGAAGCTTGGCCTGGGAGGACAGCTGGGGGGGGGCAGGGGGCGGGCAAGATTTAAGGTGGTCCTGTGAGTTGCAGCAGATCTGGGCAGCCGAGCCTTCCCCCCAGCCTGTTGCCCAGCACCATCCCAAGCCAAGAGCAGGATCTCTGTCCCCTCCTGGCTCTTTCTCCCTGCTTGAGTTCCTTCTTAGAGGAGGAACCCAGATAGACCTCCAGTTTAGGAATGGCTGGTCTTGGGTCTTGCAGGCATGCAGCAGGGTTACTGCAGGGCTCCTCCTCCTCCATCGGGGAAGTCAACCAAATTGGCAGCTCCTGCGGATTTGGGGAAAAGCAAAAGAGGGCAGGAGGAAGGGATTTCTCTGAGAGAAATAGATGGAGCCCCATTCCGGGGGGCGGGGGGGAGTGCTGGGGCCGGCAGCAAGGCACCTGTTTACCATTGGGAGGATCCCAAAATGCAGGTCTTGCTTCTGCTGGAGACCTGCATGCTCCCCTTTCGTAGCACAGCCCTCTACAGGGGCATATGCTTTCTCTCGTGGGCAAGGCCCTTTTCAGAAGAAAAGGGAGAGTGAGCCATACCACAGCTGCTCCTGCTTAACGACTGCCCTGTTCACCAACTGTTCAAAGCTACGGTGGTGCTAAAAAACTAACTTTACGACCAGTCCTCACATTTACATCTGTCGCAGTGTCCCCACAGACATGTTCTTTGCATCCAGCGAGCAGTTACAATTATCACAGGGTCCCATGGCCATGTGACCAACATCTGTCAGCTTCCTAGCCAGCTTAATACAAGCAGAGCCAATGGAGGAGCTGGCAGTAAACAGCCAGCCGGGGTCAGAGAGTGGTTGGTCCAGTTACCAGATCACTGGGTGAAGGAGTTGCTGGTCCCAGCTGTGCTCGTGAAGCCAGGACTTCCTCACCTCTTTTGCTTTTGTTGCTGCCTTTGGAACACCTTCTGGAACAGCTTCTCCAGGCTGACAGGCTGCTCTTTGGGAGAGTGCCAAGGTGGTCAAGGTTGGAGCGATGTCCAATGAAAAGAAGAGGCAACCGGGAGCTTTGCATGTGGGATCCCTCTCCCCTTCTCAAGACGGGGTCTCCCTTCTCTGCAGAGTTCTGCCTTTGGGGATCCTGGGGAGGAGGCAGACCCCTTGTATCCAGCACTGAGAAGGAAAGCTCTGGGGATGGGATCCCAGCTCAGCTGTCGCTGGATCAGGGGAAGAGGCAATGGAGGCTCTTGTCTGGAGAAGCCCAACCTTGCTGGAACTGACTTGCAGGGCGATGGCTATGGTCCCAAGACATCCGAGGCCGTGCTGCTTGGGAACCGGTCCACACGATGAAGAAAGTCCTTTGGGAGAGCAATCCCCTGCAAGCCAGGGGGCGCTTCAAGGAAGGTCTGCTTCAAGTAGCCAGTTGCCTGGCTGGGATGAGAAAGCGCCTCCCCATCCACGCTGGAGGGAGGCCTTGGGCAATCCTCCGGATCCAAAGGAGCCCCTGACTGTTGCTTGTACCCAGAAGAATGGGCTCGAGCCAGATCCTTGGATGGTGACCCCTCCTCGCCCAGGGGCAGTTGCTCTATTATCCCAACGCTGCCTGCCTCTTTCTGCGTGCCAGTCTTTTGACCCAGGTCCAGGGTGAAATGCAGATTGTCCAGGCTGCCAAAGGTTTCTTGAAGGCAAATGCCACTGTCTGCACTGCAGCCGCTGCCTTCCTCCAGCCCTCTGCCCTCTTCCTGCTGGCAGTTCTTCTCTGGAAGCACCGCTCCAATGCAAAGACTCCCCCTCTTTGCCAGGTGTGCCTGATCCTGTGGACCCAGGAAGAACAGCTGCTGGATGGACTCGGTCTCCATGTGCAGAATGTGGCTCTTGCTCTCCTCCCTCAGACCCCAGCAGAAGTTGTGCCCAAGGGGTGATTTCTGGTATGCAAAAGAAAAGAGGAGGGGGAGTCAGCCTGCAGAGTCTCCAGCCAGCCCAGCTAGTGGTCACTCCAGCTCTTCCAAGAATCTCACCCAATTCACGAGATTCTTCCCAGAAAGAAGATTCTCCGCCCCCCACACACTCAATGTCCTCAGGCAGACAACAACCCTTTCCAGGGGAATCAGCATGTACAATGGCTGAATCAATCAATCAATCAATCAATCAATCAATCAATCAGAATAGAGCTGGAAGAGACCTTGGAGCTGTCTGGCCTTGTAGCTGTGATTGATCATCCTCTCTTAGCTTCAAGTGAGGGCAGTTTTTTTGACAAACGGCTTGTAAGTTTAAAGAAAGTTGGGCAGTTTGACTCACCCTCTAAGACACAATTTCTTCCTTTACAGTTTTTGAGGGGCTGGGATTTGGCTTCTCCGAGGGCCATCTGGTTTTGGGAAGGGAGTTATTTTGGGGAGGGGGGTCTTACCAGGACTGAAGGCATTCTTGTGGTCTTCTTCGTGTAGACAGAGGCCAAGCCCAGTGCTGCACCCAGAATGCCAAGACTTAGAAGAGTCAGGAAGGCCAAACTTGGCGTAAGGACAGCGTACTCTGCAAAGGAATGTTCCCACACACGATTTATCAGGGTAGGCCATTCACCCAAGATAGGCAGTGCTGGGCAAACTGTGCCCTCTCACTCTGGCCACCAGATGTATGAGCAGTTGTGTAGGAAACAAGCCAACAGTTTGATCCAGAAAGACACAGACACCAAGAGTGGTTGTCATATTTAGGACAGTAAAAGAACTAGGAAGATCCTAATGCTGAAGAGCTAGATAAAGGTCATTATTCTCCCTGTTAGTCTTGGGCTGAGACCAATAGCGCCTTCTCCCCACTCGACCGGTTTCTAGTCTAGAAATTCCAAAAACAAATTTTATCTCAGAGCCACTCAGAGGCCTCCAGACTTTTAAGGAAAGGAGTAAGACCAGTGACTTAGGTAGGCCAGCAGAGGGCTGCCTCTAAGATGAGTTTCACTCTGTGTGTGAGAGAGAGAGGGAGGGAGACAGGGTCTGGCTTCCTCCTGTGCAGGGAGTGAGTGAGTCAGAGGTAGAGAGAGAAGGCTAGTGCTCACCTTCTAGCGGGGGTATTGAGACGCACTGCTCCTCTGTCCAGTCGGCAGCGTTTGGCAGGGAGGCCACCCGAGGCTTCACACTGATGCAATACTGCTCTCCCCCCAGCAGTGGAGGCAGGTCAAATTCCAGGCTGCTGTGGACATGCACAAGCTGTGGAGGAGAATGGGCAGAATCGTGTCAGGCCAAAGAAGCCTTCCCTTCCCTTCCCTACCAAGCTCAGGACAGGCCACTTGTTGTCGGGGCATGTGGCACCCTTGGGCTCCTGAGGGGTTCCTCAGCCGCCGCCATTCCAACTCCCCCAGTCAGCCCCACGGCTCACCTGGGCACTGGTGATGGCTTGAGGCTCACCTCCTGATTGTTGGACACTCTTCGGACTCGGGCCAGATATTCCCCCCATGCCTCATAGCTGCCTTCATAAGTGAGGTTGGCCCAGCAGCTGGTGGGACGCTGCAGAGAGACCCGGAGCTGGTTTCCGCTCCTGGAGAGGGTCACCTTGGACAGCCACAGAGTTGCTGGGGAGGAGGAGGTGAGCAGTAAACCTGGAGGAAGCCGCGAGCGGTCGCCCTGAGCAGCTCCCCCCTCCCACTTTCTCCTCCTGGGGCCGCCCCCGCCAGCCGGTTTGGCCCCCTCGGCCCTCCAGGAAGAGCCGTTTCGCGTCCCCGAAGGAGAGGCTCTTCGGCGGCCTCTTGCGCTACCTTCGCTCGGCGTAAATCGGCGCGTCCATGTCCAGGCAGAGGAGCGGTTCCCGGCTATGGCGCGCACCCGGGCCAAATAGTGAAACGCGGGCTGCTGAGTTTCGCAGGTGAGGTCACAGGAGTCGAGCGCGATCCGAGTACAATTGGCGGCGGCCCTCCAGCTGTCCTTGCCGACCCTGCGGGCGGCGGGAAGTGAAGCCGAAGGCTGTTCTGACCCGGAAGACAGGCAAGGGCCCGACCAGACTCGCCTCTCGCTCCCGCCTTGCCCTGCCCTGCCCTTACCGCCGATACTGCACCTCGTACAGGACCCCGCCGGCCGGTTTAGGGCCCGGTTTCCAGCGAAGCAGGTGATGGAAGACGCGGGCCTGGAAGCGCACATCCGTGGGCGCGGCAAGAACCCGCTCTCCTCCCGAGGAGACGGGCAGCGGCCGGGCGTCCTGGGTCCGGCACCCGCCCCTCCCGCTCGCCTCCTGCGGGTCGGCCGCTTGGCAGTCGCCGCGGTTGGCTCTTCCCTCACCGTGGCCCGAAAGACAGGAGAAGGCGAGGAACAGCAGCAGCAGCAGCGCCGACACCCACCTCTCGGCCATCCTCCTAGGCGTTTGCCGGAGGGCGACTGAAAGCGGAGCCTTTGCTGGCGTGCGTGGAGCAGCTGGCTCGGCTTTCGCTTCCTCTGGGCATTCCCCGCTGGCCCCCCTTTTGGGGAAAGCCCCGCCCGCGCCGCTTCTCCGCCGCTTCCTCCCAGGCCCCGCCGGTTTTGCCGGAGAAGGAGCGCAATGATGAACAGGTCTGCGCTGGGGAAGGAGCAGCTGACGGGGCCGAGAGAACTGCCGGAAGCCCTTGCCCCCCCCCCCTCCCGCCCCCCCCCCACGCTGCCCACCTTCTGCTTCTGAACTGGGACCTTTCCTCGCCTCTAGACGGCCCCTGTCTTAACGGGAGGGAGATGGGGAGTCAGTTTGGTCTAGTGGTTAAGGCACCAGGAGAGAAACCGGGCGCCGTGAGTTCTAGTCTTGCCTTAGCATGAAAGTCAGCTGGGGGACCTCCGGCCACTAGAGAGGTTTGGTTTCCGAGCGCCCATCCTGATTTTCAACGGCTCGGCCTTGGGATGTCCTCCCGTGGGAACTGCCGCCTTCCAAAGCCTTTGGGGGGAACTGCTGGGTTCTGCACTCCGAGGCCGTTTCTGATATCCGCCACTTGGGTCTCCCCTCCGCTATTCTCACTTGGGGCTGTTTCTGGACCAAAAGACCCGAGCAGGTGCTGGAACGCGAGACCGAATAAAATTGCGTCCAGGGAAACCGCCTTTCCCACCCTCTGGAATTGACTTGCTGGGTGCAGGATGTAGGAATTCCCCCGCTCAAGCCTCCGTCCTTCTCATTCTGCAACACTAACCCTTTTGGGAGGGCGGGCGATAAAGAGAGTGACGTCGGGAAGGGCTTTAGAATAGAGGCAGCTCGTTTCGTTTTCAACTCCCGGGTCAGGCGCCTCTGACTGGCCGGTTTTCCCAAGCCGGGCTTTCCGATGCGCAGAGGCTGCGTTGAAAGCGGCCTCTCCTTTGGATGAGTGGGGCACGCTCGGACTTCTTCCATGGCCCGCTTGAAAAAAAAAGGCTGCGTCCCTGGCGGGAGGCCCTCTCAGCTAGCCCCCTTCCACTGGACTAGTAACATGCTCCTCCGGCCCAGAAGCCTCCACCTGTGCCGGGCAATTGAAGAGGGGGAGATGGGAGGGAGGCATCTGCAGCCACAGATGCCTCCCTCCCAGGGAGAGAGACTCAATGCCCAGCCTCTTTCCAGCTGGAGTGCCTTTTCTGGTAGCCCTCCCAGCTGGCTGCCCTGTGTCAGACTAATCTCTGGTCAGCACAAGCTATCTGCGTGGTGTCCTTGACAATTGTGCAGGAGGGGTTTGTCCTGGCCTCCTTTTGGGATGTTTTCCCCTGAGTTTTGGTCCAGGGATTCTCTGGTGGTCTCCCATCTTAGCATTAACCTTGTTTAGTTTCTTCCAATTAATCCAATGAAACGAACAGTGGTCACTGAAGTCCCCCTCCCCCTTTATTGGCTTAGTCCCCTCCCTCACTGCTCCTGTTGGTGACCATTAGGAAGTGTATATTCCTTAGTTTAATTGTGCTGGATGCAAAAATAACTTCCTTAATCTTCCCTGAATTTCTCACCATTCAACCTCATTAAATTCTGGTATTATAAGAAAGAGATTTTCTTGGGAGTGAGAATGATTTTATAAATGTACACTGTGTTTCCATTTTAAGAAACAGAAACAGAAAAACCCCAAATGTTGTAATCGTTCTGCTCTGAGGAATTTGTTCAACCCACTTCCCAATTTCATTCATGTTCCAGTTTAGTTGTTCCCCCCTGAGAAATAGTCACAGCATCTGTGCACCAATTTGTTTCCGCCCCCTGCACCAGTAGCAGTTTTATTTTCAGTTCCTTAAAGGCCTCAGGACCACATCTGCTTTTTCAGAGTTGGTGAAAGAGGGGCTGGCAGTGGCAGATGCCTCCATTCTTCAGGCTTTTCAATGCAGATCTGGGCCTGTGAGGCTGGTGTTAGGCTTTGGAATGAGAAGCACCCGTTTATACTATCTGGAGCCAGGAGGAGGAGGAGGAGGAGGAGGACTGGGTTACTTTCAGTAGCCAAATATCATTGGTTTGTCATTGCTACAGACTCTTCCTGAGTTTAGACACTAGAACGGTGGTTCCAACTTTCAAAGGCAATCCAAGGCTTTGGGTCTCCATATCTTCGTGGTTTCCATGTCCTCAGAGCTTCCTGGCCAACAGCAGAGGTGGGTCTTCCTACCTAACTGCACATCACCCTCAATGACGCTTCAGTTCCTTGGCAATTTGCTGGTGTGTGGGAGAAGAAATGAGCGTTCTCCATCAGCAGACTTGCCCAGGAATCCACTCCAGACAGTTCGATGATCCTGGGCTCATCCAGAGAGTCATACGGATGAGTTCTGTAAGTGAATCCCCTGGATTCACTTGCTTGGGCTTTTGCTATGAGTTACCTTCCTCCCCTCCCCCTGGCATTGCTATGGGGAGCTCTTAAGTGGCCTCTTCCGAAGACTCCCCCCCCCCCCCAGCTTTCTGACAAGAAGCATGAGGGGCCCGTGGGTGAAAGCCCTCCAGCTGCAGGAGGATCCCCTGAAGCTTTCTTAAGGTCATTTGCCTTCCAGGCAAACCCAGACCCATTGTGGTGGGATGTTTTGTCCTGGTGCTGCCCTTGGAGACTGTCCTGTTTGCAGCAGCTTTTACTTGTTTGTAATGTGCCTATTTGCTTCCTTTTCTTTCCTAAGCTGTTGGGCATTTTGACGAAGGGTGAGGAAGTTAGGAAAAATGGAAGAAGTATTTTTTTTTCCTTCTAGGCCTCCAATCACCTCAGTTGCTGTCCTCTGTCCTATTCCAGGTCTCTTTCCTAAAATGTGGCATCCAGAATTGGATGTTATAGTCCAGCTGCAGTCTGACTAACGGGGAGTGGAAAGGAGGAGTCACTGCTTTTAATTTTTGATAAGGAGCTTGCCTAGGATTGCATGAGCCTCCTTGATGACTGCATCTTCTTAGTGGATGTTCACAATTTGTTCTAACCAGAACTTCTCCCCATGAACTGCAGCCCTCGGTTGTTTCTCCAACTACAGCCTTGCTTTTGAAGAAGAGTTGGAGAAGTTGGGAATCTTTAACCTGTAGAAGAAAAGATTACAGGGTATGTTATAGTTACCTCCAAATCTGAAAGATTGTTATATGGAAGTTTGGGTAGATTTATTCAAAAAAAAATCCAAGAAACTTTGGGCTTAATTGTCAAGAAACAGCAGCAAAAAAAAAAAAAAAAAACCCTCAACAGCAAAAACCACCGAGGAGAGTGTCCTGTACCCACTAACTATCCCATTCCCATACACTGGCTGGACAGCACAGAGAGGCTTCTTCAGGAAGTAGCAAACGCCCTTTTGCTAGAAATGTGTGAAAAAAAGGGTAGATGGCGATCCAATGCCTTTGGAGGTGGCCTCTCACGCCTCTTCCACTGGTCCAGGATTCCAGAAGCGCTTTCCTGCCTACCTCTTTTAGTGGCACGCAATCTGGTGGGAAGTAGAACGGGTTGTTTTTTTCTTCTCACCCTTCCTCTTCTCCTGTGTCAGGTACTCCCTTTGGATGTCCTCCCTTGGGTGTGGCTGCCCTGATCTGCTCTTTGGCTGGGGAGACCAGCTCAGGGCAATGGCCAGGGAGCTTCAGAATGGAGGCGTGTTCGGCAAGACTCCCGTGTGAGGGTCCATTGACCAGCCAGCAAGAAAAACCCTCTTCTCTTGTCAAGGGGGGTGGAGTCCCCATTGGGAGATCAGAAGCCAGCTGCTCTCCGAAACATGGCAAGAAGGCTGAGCTGTGCAGAGTAATCTTTCAGGTCAGGCCAGTTTCTTCCCTGCCTGGCTCTGGAGGTTGCCACACACAGCTAGCAGGGAGGGAGCCAGGCAGGTAAGACAGGTAAACTTCCCACTCAGCTCAGTTGTCCCAGAGCTACATTGTGGGTTGGCTGCTGGCAAACCTGTGAATCTCCTACGTAGGTTTGAAGGAAAGCAGGGAGCCATGGACCTTGAAAGGTTGCAGTGATCCACCAGGGCTCCTGGTGGTGGGAAGAGGCCCATGGAACAGCCCCCATACCTGGTAAGTCAGCTCAGGGAGGGAGGGAGGGAGGGAGGGAAGAACCTGCTGATCACTGGAGTGATGGGATGTGGTCAGTAGACAATACAGATCTTCCTGGAATTGGTAGAAATGAGCACCAGAGAGGAAGGAGGAGTGGGCTGGAGGCTCCAGCAATCCTAGGACTGGGTGGCTTTCTCTTCTCCAAGGCTGTTCAGAGTGTGAGGGAGCCCCTCCTCCATAAATCCTGCATCCACAGTGCTGGGCAGCACTAAAGCAGGTCTCCTTGGCAAAGGCTGTAACCTCCTCCCGAGCCTCTTCCCTGCCCAGTGCTCTCATCAGCATTGGAGGAGGCTGGGGGGGCGGCGGGGGGGCAAGAGCAGATTGCAGGGTAGGCAGTCTTTCTAATCTGTGATTCTGGGAGAGCTGCTTCTTTCCTTGAGATACATTTCTTAAGAGCATTTGCCCCCCCCTTCCAATATTTGAGGGGCTGCCCCAAAAACCTCCAAAGCACCAGAAGGCAGGACCAGAAGCAATGGATGGAAACTAATCAAGGAGAGAAACAACCTGGCATTAAGGAGGAACTTCCAGACGGGGAGGACAATGAACCAGTGGAACTACTGTCCTCCAGAAGTTGTGGATGCTTCATCCCTGGAGACTGAACAGTCGCTTGTCTGAAATGGTATAGGTCTCCTGCTTGAGCAGGGGGTTGGATTAGCAGACCTCCAATGTCCCTTTCAGCTTTGTTCTGGTTGGTTGATTGATTGATTGATTGATTGATAGGCAAGGCCTGGTGCCAACCTCTCACCCAGCCCTTACGGAGGGCAAAAGCCTTGATCTGTAGTAGCCAAGGAACAGCAGGCATTCTCTGCCCTCCTCCAGTCCCAATCTGCAGAGAGGGGGCAGGGCTGGGTCACCGGGGTGGGGTCCTTTCCTCAGGCTCTTTGTCTCCCATCTTCTTC